TCCTCAGACCCATGGATTATTTGATTGCAAATTATAGTGTTTCTTTAGCACAAGTGCTAAAACTTATATCTTGGCCTATCCGTCCAATCTGGTGAACAGAACCGAACAAAGATGATCTGATGAGTTTCACCTTGCATGATCCTCTGATTTTTGAATCCAAAGGATCAGGGTAAGGGGAGAGAACCCCTAAAATCACAAAAGGAGAATGGACCCTTTATTGAACCAGGGATGACCTCATGCAAACTTCAGAGCAGACAGACACATGGTAGCCATCAGGAAGGGATAAAATTCTAATTCTGTCAGCAGGCGAGCAGGAGACTGCTTCATATCAATCACTGAATTGAGCAGCAGAGCTTGTGAAAGTAACAAGGAACCAGTCGAAACCCAAAATACAAACACTATTCAAAGAAGCCAGACAACCACCTTCACACAGCAGTGTCCAGGGCCAGACACAGTCAGAATTTGTGCTCTTTGTACAAGGCAGACCGTGAAGCAATACGATAAGGTCATTAATCTACCTGGGCAGAAAGTCTGGGCTGACACCTAGGTGCCTGGACCAAGGTGATTCTGAAGTCTGACACACCTTTATTTACTGGAGCCAACCCATTCAGCATTGCTAACCTCAACATTTTTGTTTTTAAAAAAATCTAAAGTGTTAGAAGATGGTATGTTCACTCCCCTGCAGGCAAGCAGGCAGTCAATCATACCGTATCTTACTGCAAGGAAATACACCTCATTTCTGCAGACTTAATTTAAACAAATTAATTTTATGTAAAAACAATTGGGGGAAAAAATGTCATCACCAAGCAGGTTTTTTTTTCTGGCACTTTGGTGGGACTGTGTGTGATAAGACTAAAACAGGCTGCTCAGTAAAGTGAAAAAAAAGATAGATAACATTGATATGCACTCCTACACAAAACAGTCCAACCCTTATCTCTGCTCTTTATCACAGTTCCTTTTTTACACTGGAAGGTCCTTTAATAAAACACCACAAGGAAGGGTGGAAAAAAAAATGACGTTTTAAATCTGAAGTTTTAAACCTACACCACCCTCCCCACCCCCGCAACCCCCCCGCCCCCCCCCACCTTAGAAAAAGAAACATAATTGATCAAGGTATTATCAAGAAATCCAGACACCCTAATCAGCTCCCATGAAGTCAGTATTTCCATTCTTATCTCGTGGAGGAGTGGAAATGGAGAAGTGATTGTCAGAGCTGTACAGATTACTGGAGCGGAATGCTAATGGGAGACAGGGCTCGGCCATTGGTCGCTTAGTACTCGCTATCTGCACCATTATCAAAGTTTATCAATGCAACCATCTCTTCATAGTAATGGGCCAGTTCAACTTTCTGCATTATCATATGGCAAACCTGCCCAAGAGGCCTACACCAGGAGAGTGTTATCCAGCTCAGAAAACGAAAGAGAGGAAAGGGAAGGGGGTGGAATAAAAGATGTTGAGATGGAGAGGAGAAAGTGAAAAGTCATGATGTTCGACAATCATGAATGGAACTGAAGAGGGACGCGGAGACAGAGGGTATATTAAAGAAAAAGGACACACGTTGGAAGGAATGCGGCTAATGAGAGGCTAGAAAAGAAGGTTAATAAAAGCGATGACAAAATGAAAATGGCAAAAACCACAGAGGCAGGACAATGAAACCGAGCAAAAGCGACGAAGCAGAAAGAGAACGAGAGAAATCAGAATTAAAATAGGCACTCAAGAAAGCAAAAAAAAATAATGAATTTAAAAAGTAGCAAAAGAACCGAAGAGATTAAGAAAACAAACAAGGAACATTAAAATGTACACAGAAGGCAAAAATAGGAATAAAACTGATTACATAAACGTGAAGCAAAACAGAGAGAAAAAAACATGTTAAAATGTAGAGCGACATTGTAAACATTAACAGAGAACACACGATCCCAGGTACATTACATCCCTTGCTTTCACAAAGCAGTTGATACAAGACATTCTCAAAATAATGGCTGTTTGCCACATAAAAATAATGATTTGTTATTAAAACCCCATTTTGAACTGATTAAAAACAGCAACAATTTTTAAAAACAATTCCACAGAGACAGCTAAATGAAAACGACTGCCTAGATACAAGTTTAGAATAGTAAAATATTACAAAATTGTGCCTTGAAAACTTGTACAAGAACAAATTGGGACACAAAAATCCAGTCGATACAAAGTGTGGAGCGGTATTAAAGATACACTGAAGTTTAACCATGAGGGAAAATCTGAATTCAGCCTTCATGATTGAGAACTGAATGCAATATACTTCCCCATCGAGAGTGAAATTGTGGGTTATCATTTTCTAATTACTTTCTTAAAGTTTTTCCGATTGTCTCCATGATAAAAAGCTCCAGTGTTCGAAATACAATGTGTAGGTATAGAAGGGGGTAAAGTGGCAGAACGCCTGCATAACTAAATCTGTGACAGTTAACCTTTAGTTTATTTTCACACTGCACGAAAATGAACATTGGTTACACATAATGATGCACAGTAAAGCCGTACAAGATAAACCCCTAAAATGTTGCCCTGTTGGGGATCAAATTTTTTTCCCTGGGGAAAGCGACCGATTTTGAAGGGTTGATCCCATAGATTTCATGTGGGTATTATAAGTAGCAAAATCATGAATGTCTAAAACAGATTAAAATTTGTTTTGAAAATACGGAGTGGGGGGTGGGGGGTGTAGAGGAATGTGTCCTGCTGGTTTCTACAACTTCTAGGTGTAGTGTCATTGGATCCTCATGGCACTAGCTCACGTTTAATACGATGATCTGATTGAACCATCAGTGAGACACAAGACAAGTTATGAGACATCTTTACCAGTTGGTTATCTGTAACAATATTTTCTGCATGTGCTAGCACCATTTAGTGGGAGGAAGGTTCCGCTTTGTTTCTTTCTCTTATTTTCATTGTTTCTTCATATTTGCTACAAAAAAAAGTGTGAGGGCGTTTAAAATGAAATCTACTTTACGATCAACTTTATCCATATATGGAATGTGTTTCAAAACAGCTTCATGGTACACATTCATAAAACAGCTGTCAGTCTGTTGAATTGTCACAGGATGTTGTTTAATAATATGGTTGGGTCAAATTTTCAACATTTCTGAAACTTTGATAAACTTTAACTTGTCAAGTATCAAATTTGCTGAAATACACAACTTTTCTAAGTAAAGCAATATTATTATTTTAAACAGAAAACAACCATTTAGGAATGGAAACTGACAAACAGCTATTAGGTCTCATTCATAATAAGGCTTTATTTTTCTTTGAAATCTACTGATTCACAGTATTCCACCCACAATTACTGGATCACGATTCAGTATCTTGAATAAAAAAAACTGATGTAACAGTTTTGGAAACTAACTGGTATAAGCACAATGCCCTCATGCTAAGGATTTGTTACCGCTGAGGATGCTTAAGGTGCTAAGGATTTGTTACTGCTGTAGTATTCCATGTGATTAATGGAAAGAAAGACACATTTATGTAGAGCCACCATGAGACTTTGTTTGTTTAAAAAACTGAGCAAAATACCTACCCTCCTTTACAACACGTAAAATTAAAATAGTGAACAGATTCACACAATATGAAATTGCTCACCCTCACCCGAAAGGCCTTCGATTTTTAAAGAACTGTCAACTGTATTTGGTCAACTGCAACAAAGTTTTTAGCAAGAGTGCAATATGTTCCAGTGCATTCAAGCTTCGTCCAATGTATTCTTTCACATGAATAAAACAAGCTTCCTAACTGAACTGCAAAAACATCCGACATCCAAATATGATTATCACTACATCAATGCAATTTAAGAGACTTAACGAGAGGGCTGGTGTACAGGTTATTTGTGAGCTTAAAAAAAACTATACCCAACCCGAGATATTGATCTTACAAAGAAAATGAAGCTTTTACCTGCTTCCAGGTGGCTTAATGAATAAAGGCACAGAAAAGTTATCTGCGTGAGCCTTCCTCGCTCCTCATCTAATGAACTCTCTGAGTTACATGTGAAGGACTCAACCACATTAATAGCTAACGATGGAATCAATTACATCAGCAGCCTCTCGGGGTTTTTTTTTCTCTTGTGTTTTGCCATTTCTTTCTTTGTATTTGTATAACCGTCCTGACTCGGTACCTCTCCAGTCTGGTTCGAACTGATAAGAACTGTTATCGCGTTTGGCAATCTATATCAGGACCTAGATCAAGCCTCCGGCTTATCATGTTTTCTCATCACCCAGTCTACAGTCAAACAAGCTCCACTTTTGTTCTAGATTTCCTCTACCGAAAAAAAAGTCATCAGAAAGTGTTTTTAATAAAACAAATCTTTTGTTGTGCTGTACACATATTTATGCACACACACACACACACTCACACTCACACTAGGGGTATATATATATATATATATATATAGATTCAACCTCACAGTACCACCACAAGACGATGGTTACTGCGATACAAGAAACCTACAGAAGTAGTACAATGATCCCGGGGTATTTTGAGCTGAACACTGAGCAGACAGACAGACAGACAGGCACTGGCTCGCTTGCAGAAGGCATCCTGTGCCCCTCTTCCCTCGGATCACCAATGCAGACAAGACACCTGCACACCCCCCCCCCCCCCACCCACCCACCACCAACACCAACACCACCCGTTCCCCCCCCCCAGACCCAAACCATTCCTGGAGCTCAGACGAGAAGTAGTTAGGGACAGACACAGGGCATAGGAGTTTGTGAACTGAGCTCAGGGCGCTGCGCTGAGCTGTGCTGAGCTGTGCTGAGCTGTGCTGTGCAGTGCTGCGCTGAGCTGTGCTGAGCTGTGCAGGGCTGAGCTGTGCAGGGCTGTGCAGTGCTGGGCTGAGCTGTGCTGTGCTGTGCAGGGCTGAGCTGTGCTGTGCTGTGCAGGGCTGAGCTGTGCTGTGCAGTGCTGGGCTGTGCTGTGCAGGGCTGTGCTGAGTTGTGCTGAGCTGAGCAAAGAGGAGCAAAAGGCGCAGCGGACTAACTCACGTTTGATCTGCCGGGGGTTACTCTGCTTTCTCCTGGACATTGTGGCTGCCGGGGTTGCCGCGGGTTACGGGTGGACAGGAGCCGCGTGCACCCGCAGCATGGTACCGTCAACAGGGAGGAGACTCAGCCCGCGAGGAGGAGGAGGAGGAGGAGGAGAGGGAGCGGCGGCGGCGAGAGCGGCGGCGACACACGTACTCGGAGCGGAGCGCAGGGCGCCGGCGGGGAAGCGTTTCCATTCACAAAGCGGCGCGCACTGTATCCAACCAGCACTCACCGACACACTGTATCCAATCCTGCGTCTGACGTCACCCCGTCAGCCCGTCGCCATGCCGACCCGCCGCGCTGCGTCAGCGCGCAGCCCCTCCCCCCCCCCACCCTGTAAACAAAGAGACGTCAGGACTCCACCGCCGCCGCCGCACGCGCTCTGCACTGCACTGCACACTGCACACTGCGCCTCAAGTCGGATCAGCCGACGAGCGCACGTGACTTGGAATCCGACTTACGCGAAGTGCCGAGCGACGGTCAAACGGGGCGGAGGATGTGCGCTCCCGGGCGGCGTCCCCGCCCACTCCGCCCGCCCCACCCCACCCACCCCCCACCCCCGGGCACAGATCGGTTCGGCCATCGTACCGTTCATACGGACCGCGGCGGGCGGGCGGGCGGGCGGGGAGGGGGAGGGGAGAGGGGCGGTCAGACGTGTGCGAGTTTGACTGTATCGGAGGAGAGAGGGAGATTGTGTGTGTGTGTGTGCGCGCGGCGCAAGGAAAGAGTCAATAATAATAATAATAATAATAATAATAATAATCCTTGCAAGTCAAGTGCAGAGCTGTCAGCTCTCACTCATCAAGGATGGAGCTTGTGTTTTTTTTTCTCTCTCCCTCCTTCTTGTCAACTCGTGCTCTCCCGGCACCTCTCTCGGCGCTGACTTTTGTCCTGGTTCGCAACTGCGCCTCCTCGCAGCTGTGCGCCGCTCTCAAGCGTGGGCATGCTTCCACGGCCTGAACGGGTCTGTAATCTGCCCCCACCGCCTGTTGTCGTAAATCTCCAGCCCATTTCCTCCCCTCTTGACAGCTCTCTCTTAAGTTGCATCTCACTCTATGTTCAAATAATAATAATAATAATAATAATAATCCTTGCATTTGATGTAGCGCTTTTCACGTCGGGAGGACGTCCCAAAGCGCTTCACAGAACACACTGTAAAGTGAATTGACTGTATATTTGTGGGCGAACGCGGCAGCCAATTGCGCACAGCAATGTCCCACAAACAGTCGTAGATTGAAAATGACCAATTTATTATTGTTTTTGGTTTTGGAGGATTATTATTAGGCTCTGTGTGGAGTAAGGAAACTTGCCCAAGGTTTCGCCCTCTGTCTGGAATTGAACTCAGGTCTCTCACTTGCAAAGCGAGTGCTCTAACCACTGAGCTACAGGATTCCAAATGGGTTTGCAACACATCTTACTCTTTCTGATCGGAAATCTCACTCCTAATACTGGCCCGAAGTTGACAGCTATAGAATTGCCCACGATACTACGTAGATTGTCAAGCGTAAGGCTTGGCAAATGACTTGGAACATGATCCAAGAAATCATTGTACAAACAGTTGCTTGAAGTCCAGCATCCATAAACAAGGAATGAATGAGCCGACAGTGAAAGACACCATGTTGGGTGCAGTGTGTTGAAGCACCAATGCTGGTGGGATGCAGGTTTCACTTACACTGCTCCAGGCTTTTCTCAGTCAGCATTAGACACACAGGAGGCTGAGAGCAGGTCACCTTACTTCAGATGCTTAAGATACTTGACCATTGGGAGTATAGCAGCATAAAGTTATGACCTAAATCTCCCTTTTGACAAATTCTTTTTCACTTTCACACGTGGCAGATGGCACTGTCCAATGTATTACAAGATAACAACAGATATTTGGGAGGGAGTTACGCGCTCTGTTATCTTCCTGGCCCCCAGAAGATAGACTTTTAAGATTTCCTTCTGACGTTCAATCTCTCCATGCCATTGCTCCATCCCTGTGTCATTCCATTTCACCCCCATCTCCATCTCTCAGGTTTCCACACCATCTCTGCAAACCTCTAAGATTAAGGAGTTATATAAGTGCTAATTGTTGGATTTAAAATATTGCTCTAAGTAAAGTTATTCACTCATGTATGTGTAATTATTAATATTATATTTCTTAACAATTCTCCCCAAAAATGTATAAATTGTTCCTATGTGTTTATATCCACAACGCAGGAAGCATTTGCACAGTTCAGACTCGTATTCCATATAGATGATCGTAGGACATCTGGAATACCCGCAACAGGAAAATTACACAAAGCACTCATTGTCATGCCTGAAGAGGAGAAGGAAGACACACTAATATAGGCAGCAGCACCTGAGGGCTAGAACACTGCAGTGTTTGAAGAGCCAAAGGGAGTGGGGGGAGGAGTGAGAGGAAGCAGTCTGAGCACCCTCGACAAGGTCAAAGACACAAACAAAAACATTCTTAACACTGTGTCCTGTTGAACCAGACCTTAAATCATAAAGGTTAGAGGTTTCCATATCAGTGCTCTCAAAAGGTAGTAGTGAGGTAATAGAAGCAATTCTATTACCACCCACCGCCCCCACCAAAAAAAAACACACACAAAAATCTAGTAGAGTATAAAGAGGTAATGGCTGTATGACACCCTGAACCATATGCACACCAGCATGTAACCCATCCGGGGTCAATTTGCTGAGCAGATTGTATCACTGATTCAACTCGTTCTTCCCTGACCAAACAATAATGCTTTGAGGTGAAGCTAGCATATATGCATGTTAATTGAAAACTCTGAGACAAGCATTTTTCAAAATTTAAATTGACTTTATCATTGACGTCAGTAAATTCTCCGTCATAAATTTGTTTTTGACGTTGCGCGCCACATTTCGAAAGAATTTTGCAATGTTTGAAATAAATATCACGGGTTGCATATTTTATAGTTCATTATATTTACAATGTGCATCTGATAATGTTTGAGCGCCTACTTAACTCGGATTCCATCGCAAAAATGATTGGCTATTATGTTACCCTCTGCAAAAAGTGAGCATAATAATAATAATAATCTTTGGATTTGATATAGCGCTTCATCACGCCTTCGAGATGTCTCAAAGCGCTTCACAGAATACACTATAACATGTAGTGACTGTGTATTTTGTGGGCGAAACGTGGCAGGCAATTGCAAATAGCAGTGTCTCACAAACAGTTGTGTAATATAGTTCAGGCATGGAGTCAGATAGACAGCTTTGAATGAGTAAAATCAGACAGCTTCATATCTGTGGACTTTTTAAAAACAACATGTCAGCCAGTGCACACACTGTACACTTGTATCCGTTAGCACTGGCTTGTGCATTCCGCCATTCACTTTACCCATGTACTTTCAATACCTTCAGATATTTTGGGAGCTGCCCTCTTCATGCAAACTGAATGTTACACCTCATGGAAGTGGAGGCACTGGTGGCTCCTTCATCTACTGCCAGCTGATCTCACAGGCTATAAGGCCCACATTGGTGGTCTTAGAGACCCATTTTATTTTGGCCGGTTTATCCTTGGCTCACTTTTTGAAGTAGGTTTAATGTTTTGGGGAATTGCTTCCAGTCCCATTTTTTCCCCTCCTTTTAGTGGCATTGAGAAGTTTGGCAGTTAGATTTGTTTTTATTTTTCACGTTGATCAAGGTAAGTGTTACAGTGCTGGAGCAAATAGGGGTTTGCTTGCCGCCACCTTGTCTCTCCAGCCTTCAGTAGAATCTAACCATCTTTCCTTTTTTTTGTGAACTGGTTTTAACGGAGCCATGGCACAGCTGAACGAATACAAAAACAGTTTGCGGCAAAATAAAAACAGGTTACCACTCTACAACCTCAGTTTCTTACCACCCTGAAGATCAATCAAATCTACTGGGCTGGAAGCAATAGCAATACGCATGGTCAGGCTTTCCCATATTACAGCAACTTACCATTTTAAAATATTCTTTTGGATAAGATTGACCTTTTATTTCAATCCCTTACAGGTGCATGGACACAAGCTGTATTTTCCTTTCTTCTTACTGAATGCCCTATTTATTATTGAAAGGGACATTGAATTTCCTATTGAATCCAACGCTCTTGTACATGCCAGGTGAATACCATCTGTTTATAATGCTGTATGTGCAATTTTCAAACCTGGTAGATAGGAGAAAGCTCAGCTGCCACTGTCTCCACCTGTTCTGTGTATCTAATGACTGGCTCACACCTTCACACTGCACTGCTCGCTCTACTTGGCCTCTGTACTATTGACTGCTTCTGACCTCATTAACACTGCTGATAATATCAAATGCCACATTTCACTCTCCTTTGTGTTTGTGATTCCTGGCTAAATGTAGGAGTTCTTGATGTTGACTGTACTGTCGGGGAAAAGATAATGATAATAATCCTTGCATTTGATATAGCCCCTTATAATGTCGCTGAGACATTTAACAGAGCTCCACAGGATACATTGCAAAGACTTTGTATTTTGTGGGTGATTGTGGTAGCCAATTTGTGCACAGCAATGTCCCACAAAAGAGCCATGGTGGGAGGGACCAATTTAATTTGGGGGATTTGTTGACCAGGATACCAGGACAAACTCCCTTCTCTTTTTGAATAGGGCCATTGGATCTTTAACATCGACTTGAAGAGGCACACAGGACTTGGTTTAACATCCCATCCAAAGGACGCACCTCCAACAGTGAAACACCCCCCAGCACTGCACTGGAGTGCCAGCTTTTACTACGCAGTTCCAAGATTTCCTTAAGGAAACTTTTGTTCTCATCAAGGTGAGGAATGTCAGTCATGGACTGAGAAACGTTTCTCCCCTTTGGGCACTTTGGTGGGTGAGTGTATCTTATTCTGTGCTGTCATTGACTCAGAAGAGACAAGGTCACAACTCCCTTGGAATATTTACCAAACCAGAGGAGAATCACCCTTTAATCTCTGCATGAAGCAATCAGTGGGAGGTGCAGTTAGGGCAACGTGTTGTTATGTAGAACTCCAAAGTCAATTGGCCAACTTTATCCATCAAAGCCAGGAAGTCAGCATTTGATTCACTGCTACTAGGTACCACCGTGCACCACACAATTTATCATGTGATCACAGTGGACCTTCACATTACTCTGGCCCCCAGGGAGGAAATAGCTTTCCATAGAAAAGGACAGTTACACATTCCATTTCCTTCCTGGTCACAGAGCAGACACAACTT